CAAACATAATTTGATCTTAAGATTGTCAGCAAATAAATTGAATAATGGTATTCTAATAACTAAATTTGCCTGTTATTTATGATCCCAATTTATTTATGTAGATTTATGTGATAAAGTCAATGAAGTAGAAATGTATAATAGTCGATTTTTAGTAAAAACTTTTTTGTTGTATGTAGGTATCTAGGATTTTATCAGACTGGCATTATTGCTATGTATACCTATAAGTAGGTATTTAAAATGATAATTTATGTGATAAATATTCTTGGGATAGGTTTAATAGAATGTAAAAGGCATTTGTTCGACCAACAAAGTTTTGTATCATCTGGCAACACTAAAATAATTGTTTTCAAACCTTATTGGTAAGCTAGCTCTTATTTGGTACCTTATTGGTATTTCTGTTCCCAATAATTTTAAACAGTTCATTAGAAATTTTAAATTAAAATGTTAAAAATTAATACAGAACATATGTAAGTAAGTTATTATATAGGTATATTATATGATATATTTTAAGATTGACAAATAAATGCAAATAAAAATTTGTTTGACAGTTTTGACAATTTTAAAAAACTTTAGAAGCCTATGATTTTATCAACTGTCCCATTGGACAGTAACTGCACGGTTTAAAAATAAGTCACTTTCTCAATTGAAAAGTACACATTATTTAATATGATTGAAAAAAGTATTAAAACTTTAAATTAACATATCGTCGTTTATCTGACAAAGAGGCGTATCTCATTTTTAAACAAAACGGTGTGAATTGAATTACGCCAGTTTGTACGGCACACAAAATGCAAAAATATTAGTTACGCCGAAACTGATTTATGCTAAAACTTTATTTGTACCTATTTATTATAGAGCTACGCCAGTTTGTGAGATTATAAAGTCGATTTTGGTGATCATTCTGGTATAACTCAAAAACGAATTTTTTTGAGTTACGCCTCTTTGTCAGATAAACGACGATATATAAAAAAACTAGGTAGTTAATAAAAATAATTAAATTTATTTATTCTGAGAAGTAAAGACGTTGTGTTAAATTACTTAATAATAATAATAATAATAATAATAATAATAATAATAATAATAGGTAATAAAAAGGTAATTTAAACATTTCACGCTTATTTTACAACAATGCCTTTGTGAGAAGGTGTTTATTTGTTTATTTAACAACAATATTTCCAAGGAAATCCTATTTAATGTGTGCTACATTTAAAAGTACCTACCTATATCATTTAATAGGCATTACAATTTCTTTCAAATCTTTTTATTAAAATAAAACAGAAACAAATCTGCAGAATTTTGTTATCATACCCAAATTAATTAAAATTAATTTTTGAAATAAGAGGATTTTAATTTTACATTAAAACCGTATAACACATTAGTTGAACATGCATCTAATGTTTAAAACAATTACTTGTCTACAACATACTGTATATAACTCCACCCTCGAGGAATCTCCTCTTTCTCCCACTAGTCGCACAATATACTATTATAGTCAATTTTTAATTAACTAGTATGTAAGATAAGTAAAGAATGTCATTGTTTTTTATTAATGTTACTCCTTTACAATTTTTAACATTTTTTTAATTATCTACATAAATACTATTTTTGATTTTTGTGCTTTTACCTATATCAAAATTATTCCTAAAAACATTATTTGTAGTCTTCAAATTGTAGATATTTATTTATGTACGTATTAACCTTTTTTTAAATTTGTCCATTGCCCTCTTTAACTGCTAATTGACAGACAGCTAAGCAAATATTTAAAAATATAAATTAAATATTTGTCAATAAAAATTAAATTCGGATTGGTTAACAGTAAAAAAAAAAGTTTACTTAAAGTGATTAAACATAAATAGAAAATAATTTATTCATTGTAATGTTTTTAAAAAAACATAATCTAGGTAACACTTGTTCTACTTGCAAAGAAAAACAAGTGTATTCACTTGCAAGGCCTAGATAATCTAGTCTAATTAAATTCTTTGATTTAATGCATTGTTCCTGTAAAAGTAACTCACTGGTATCAGTTGACATTGAGACACGAATTATTTATGTTTTACATAACAAGTTTATGGATTTTACAAACCTTAATAACCAAAACTAACGTCAACATACCTTTGCCAGAAATCCTAACCTAAATCCACCAACAAAAACATCGCACAGAACTACAAATGACACTTCACTTCAACGCAAAAATTGTCGACATTTTTTTACAACAAACCAATTACAAAACGATAAACAAATGAGTGGAGACGGTTTTAGCGGCAACCTTTGTGGTTGCTCGTAAAGCGAATACTGTTGTTTGACATTTGGTCGTCGTGGTTCGGGCGTTTACGCGGTTGCCGAACGTTTACCTCGTGCTCAAGAATGTCTGACATTCCACAGGTGGAAATGCCCGAAAATCGCCCGTGCGTTTTGTTTGCTTTAATGATGTTTGATTGCGGCCCGAATAAGGTCGAAAATATGGTGTAATCTGTAGACAATCTGTTTATATCTGTAATTAATTACAAATACCTAATAATAATAATCTGTAATAAATTACAAATTGTAATTTACAATTAATACGATTATTATAAGATTTGATGTAGTTTTAATTGTGTTTTTGGCCTATTATTAAGGATAAAGGTTATACCTACGTATAGTTTATTTAAAATTGTTTTAATCATTTTAGAAGAACAATAAAAACTCTAATTAACCGTTTAAGTCGTACAAACTAAAAAGTAAATGGTGTAATTAAATTATACCAAAAGGTAATAGTAAACTTGACCCATTTTAGAAGGCATTTCTTATTAGAATGCCTTTCTACGAGTGGGTAAGTTAAAATAGAAGAAAAGTAAAATAATAAAGAACGAATTAATGATTCGATTTCAATGGAAAGGAGAACGAAATTGTCCAATAAATTTAACGGGTATAAATTAATATCTATCGGACATTTGATAGTTTTTGTAGAAAATGTATCGTTTCTAAATATTTAATATTAATTTAATTTTAATATTTTTTAATTTAAATATTGTAGGGATAAAAAATTAAAAATGATTCGTAAGATTGCTGTTTAAATTAGGGGCCGTTCATTAATTACGTGAGACAATTTCGGCGATTTTTCGACCCCCCCCCTCCCCTTGATGATATGTCGTGAGATTTTGCTCGACCCCCTCCCCCCTCCCTTAATCTCACGTGAGATTTTTTAAAATGCATGGTTTTAATGTAAATAAGTTAATCTGTGCTTAATTCCATTAGATTTATTTAAAAAAACAATTTGCTTATAATTGTTTACTTAATTTAACCCAGTTTTCTAGCAATTTTAAATTTTTTCTTTCGGAAAAAATATTACGTGATATTTGCCGAGACACCCCCCTCCCCCCCACGTGAGATTTGGTGAGGTTTGGCTCGACCCCCTCCCCCCCCTAAACACCTCACGTAATTAATGAACGGCCCCTTACTTATAAGAAAACAAAATGTTTGATGGTTCATTTTTATTTTTCTTTTCTTAAATATTAATCTAGATAGTATTTAATAAAAAACAACAAAAATTAACTATTAAACATTCTTTTTTTGTATAAGTAATTTCAATTTCTAATTGGAAAATTTACATGACGCAAATAAGAATCACGACTGCATGAATTTTGTGAAATTATAGACAGGTAATTTTAGGTTTCAAACCTTTTTATTAAAATATGCACATGCATACATGTAATTATAAAATTACCTAATGAAATAATTGGGTGTTTTAGAATTGCGACCTCTTATAAAAGTGTGAGAAAAGCAAACAAAAATAATTATTGAAACTGAAAATTATTTTTTCTGACCAATAGGTATTTTTGTAATTATTAAGCGTTAAAGCGCATAAAATTATCTAACTATGGTAAAAGTTAAAAAGTGGGCAACATGTTTAACAAATTGAAAGTTATTATAGTATATAGTATGTATCAAGGTTTATAAATAAATAAACAAATAAACAAATAAGCTTGCAAGCGAGTGTTTAACAAAAACGAGTGTCTAGAGAAGTTTATGAAACATTTGACATCTGTCAAATGTCAACGGATTTAACCCCACATTTTTCCTAATTTATAATAAAGCTAACTTCAGCCCGTGACTAAAACGCCATAAAGTAACAGATTATTTGCTGAAATAAAAATTAAGTTAACTTAATTTTAAAAGGTTTCTTATCAGTTTAAATAATATTTTCATCATGCAGTACAGAGAATTGATAGAGGTTTCCATCGTTGGCAGTTATTTATTTTTTATTTAAGGCAATAATTAACTTTAAAATTTAAAGTTTAAAAAATTCCATATCCCATTGGTATTATGGAATGGCTGAAATACAATGGTTATGGTTAAACAATTTAAAAAAATTAAATCGTAATTTCAAAAATATGTGCAGTTAGTAGGTACTTTTGAACTTGCCGCCTTTATTGATTTAATTTTACGTTGCTAAGTAACGAATAATAATAACAAAAGAACGTAAAATGAGTAGAAGGTATGTTCTTATTAATTTATTTTATTTAACCCAGTTACTTTTTTTATTAAATATTTATTTTTATTTATACACAGATTATAAATATACAAATAGTTATCCAAGATTTTAAATATCTGTTACAGAAAGTATAAAACTATATAAATTGTTTATTGTTATTCTGGTTGCATATAACAGTATACCTACATGATTATTTGTTTATAAAATACTGGTTAACACATATACAGGGGGTCCTGAAAATGACGTACTGACGCCATATTACCCTCTATAGAGGGTTATTTCAAGTATACTTAAAACAAATTACAATTAAGTAAAATTGAATTTTATTTTTTTGATATTTTAGGATTTTTTGAGTTTTTAAGCTTATATTTTAATAATTTTGTAAATTTGTCATGCCATTTTTTATCTTTATAGGTCCTGTACGAATTTGTCTTACTATTTTTTAGATTTAAATCGATTCAGTTTTTAAAATAAAAAAATCTTCATTAAAAGTTAATAATTAATTTATTTTATTTATTATTTTTATTTCAGCGAATTAAACGTATCAAGATGGCTCGAAGCCCACTCCAATAGGTCGGCTGGGCTCACCACTTTACCAGGCAACGCGATTTTGGTTGATGTAGTGGGTGATGGAGATTACAGGCTGATTATAACAGATTTAAAGCTGGAAAAAGATGTGAAAAGTCGCTTAAAAACCTACAAAGGTACTCTACTGACCTCTGATCAAATTTTGCAAGACATACCCAGTTCTGTTGTCAGTTTTTTCACTGACGAGATCGAACCCAGAATTCCAGGTAAATATAAGTTCAGAAATTGGCGTAACGAAATTACATTTCCTATAGTATACTATTTTTAGCTGTGGCGGTAGCTTGTGGATCGGATTTATTGATTTTTAAGAATAGTAAACCATTTTTTAAATTCACTGTACCATCCTTGCCAATAACGCCTTTAGAATCGGAAATATGGAAAAAATTTGCGGAAGATCCAAATTGTGATTTTGGTAAATACGTTGAGGATCTAAAAACAATACCATACAATGTTCTAAGTCCAAGGTGTGTATAAAAAATAAAACAACACATATTAATACTAGAAAAAATACAATTTCTAATAAAACGTTCTTTTCCAATTATATCACTTTTTAGGTCTCAACATTTACTATGTGAACCACCGTCAAAAATAGAAGAATTCATAGGCAAATATTTATTATCGCCTCCATCGAAAAATTCGACTATAACATGTATGACGTCATTAAATAGAATGACACACGATAAATATGGTATTTCTTGCCCAGTGTTGGCTACAGAGAGTGGACATATTTATTTTCTAGATCCCCAAACATTTGCTGTCTTACATCAAGTAAATATAAATTTTGTTTCAAAAAAGGTTGTCTTATGGTTACACTGAAAAAAAATATTCTTGATTCAAAACAATCTTTGTCTCATATATAACGAAGATAATATATTCTTTAAAATAGTAAAGTATTTTCTTAATTCACGTTGATTTACTTCAAGAATCTTTTCTTAATGTAATAACATTAAGAAAATATTCTTGAATCAAATCAACGTGAATTAAGAAAATACTTTAATATTTTAAAGAATATATTCTCTTCGTTATATATGAGACAAAGATTGTTTTGAATCAAGAATATTTTTTTTCAGTGTATAAATGTTGTTTTTTCCCTACAACCCTTAAAAATTTTAAAACTATTGGATTTTACATTTTTAAGTTTCGTCATTTATTCAAGGTGGAAACCTTAAGTGAAACAAATTTTGTATCTTGAAAACAACTTATTGTTTAAAACATTACAGTATCCAGAAAAGGTAAATGTGTGAGCTAGCTTGTCCTTTTTCAAGTATCACCAGCAATGTTGGAAAATGTTAAAAATGATTTTTATAATCATCTAGCATATTGTCAAGAAACCAGAGATTCTCTTTTTGAACATCTTTTAAAGTATAAAATATACTTCAATAAAATAATTGAAAATGCATATTTGTATAAATGCCCAATAAAACTAGATGATGACTTGACATACCTTTACATTTAAAAAAAGTTGGGGATGATTTTTTTAATAAAATTATCACCATAATTTACCAATGAAAAAATAAAAGTTGACGTGTTTTTGAAATTGAAAAAAAAATTCAAAATACCTACACAACCACTTTTTATCCTACAGGCAAACATAAGTAACATAAAATCGACACCTTGTATATTGAAAAGTACAGGGTTGTACGATGTGGAGTACCGCGTTGTTGCCGCATGTCGCGAGGGTCACGTGTGCGTTCTGCGACGCGGTTGGTTGGAGGGAAAAAGCATCATCCAATCGGACGCCGACATCGTTGATATGGTTTTAAAACCTGGTGATAACTTCATCATTTTGGCCACCACTGATAAAATGCTGCATTGTTATACGAAAAGGGTGAATTTTCTTTATCCTATACATGAAACGAAATATAAAACTTAACTCTAGGGCCAACGTTTGTGGTCATCAAAAATGGCAAACTCAATAACCTGCCTTGCCCTGGTAACTCTGAACCATCTAAGCAGCCATCTGGTAGCAGTGGGCCTAAAGGGTGGTCCCATACATTTGTACCAAGGCAGACACCCAGTGGACTACACCTCTGTGCCTGACACTCCGTCAGTTATAACATTCGGTCAACTTGGACAAGAAGAACACGTCATGGTCATAATAACTTTAGCTGGCACCATAAACTTTAAGATACTGAAGAGGACGGCTGATTTTAATTTGGGGAACCCAGATAGCCAAAATATGGTTCAGTTGCAGGGGAAACCTTTACCGTTGCCCAAAAGAAGTAAATTATTTTTGGAGCAGAGTTTGAGGGAGAAGCAGAGTCCCATAGGTAATGTTAAGAGCTAAAATAGAGGTTGTGTATTTACTTAAAATATTTTTTAGAAATGCACCAAAATTTTCAACAGGATTTGATTCGACTAAGACTTACAGCTGCCAGGTCGTTGGTACAAAGTTTATCAGACCAATCAGGGGTTGGAAACGAAAAGGAACAAATAAAACTATCAGCACAAGTAAAGTTAAACGCATAATAAAAAATATATATTTTTAAAACAATATTTTCAGGTTTTGGGCTTGGGGCCAAAATTTACCCTAATCCTAACCCTGGTGAACATGAACAATGAAAAATGTTTGGCAGGATTTACCATTACTTATCATACGAAACCTACGTTGTATACTTTGTCATCCTATATAAATTTGGTAACATGATATTTATTAATTAAATCTAAATTTATATATAAGACATTTTTAGATTCCCTTAATACCCCCAGGACTTTCCTTCCAACTAGACACCAAAATAGAGGAAATCATCAATGAGCAAAATCAAGAAATCCAAAGTTTTAATTTACCCCAACAAAATGGCATAATTAGAGTTTTTGTTACCAGAAAAGGGCAGTCACAACCTGTTTTAGCAGCCACTATAAATATGCCACCCACTGAATTACCATATGTTATATAAAAATGCAATAAAAAGTTGTTATGAAGTACACAAGATTTTTCCTTGGCCTTGAATACAAATAATTGAGGTTATCCATCTGTCATTTTAACGTTAGTTACAGTTGTTAAATTACAGGTCTCTGTAGAATAAGCACATAACCCATAATGTCAAACGTCAACATTATTTGCTAGAAAAAAACTAGTATATTCACATAAATAACCATTAAGTAAAAATAATAATAATAATATAAAACTTGGTATTAAGTTAAGCAATAGTAAATGACAACGTTAATTTATTATTAATGTTAATATTTTACAAAAAACTTTATTTTTTTTAATGTGTGATTTAACTTTTAAGTAATAACATATATTTACAAAAAAAGTTTTACAAATAAAAGTATAAAAGGCTGGAGTCTATTAATTCTTTTATTATTTACAACAAAAAATACACGAAATATGTCTCTGGACGATGTAAGTTGTTTTTTAATTTATTTAGTAATTAGTAAAATAGTGTATTACGTAACAGCTAAAAGCCTTGTTTTTTTATCAAAAACGTTTAAAAACATTTATTTTTGTTTTGCAAGCTCTTTTTATATACATATATATTTTATAATTTTTTAATAGAAATTTAACTCGGCATGTCAAGAAATCAAAAGGTTTACCAAAAGACCCCCAGATTCAGATATGTTGGAAGTATATTCATTATACAAGCAAGCTACTGTAGGGGATAATAATATACGTAAGTAAATACAAAAAATACTAATTTTCAAAGTTATTTTCTTGGTTTCAAAAGTTTGTCTTTGCTATGGCGCTTTATCCATTACCACTTTAAAAAATGGCGAATGCGCCGGTGTTAAAAAATCCCTTTTCAGCATTTTTGCTTTTTTAACAAGGTTTATAAACTTTTTTTAGCCAAACCATCGGAAGCTAAAGCCAAAGCAAAATGGGAAGCATGGTCGAAAAAAAGAGGTGTTAATCCAAATACAGCCAAAGAACAATACGTTGTAAAAGTATTGAGTTTAGCTTCTAGTTATGCTTAAGGATCCTTTTGTTATAAAGTAGTAATAAAATAGAAAAGCAATCATTAAAACAATTACTTCACTATTGCTTGATATAATTATTATAATCACCTTGAATGCAAATGCACCTTGTTTTTTGTTTAATTTTACTGGTTTTGTTGTTGTTTATTATTTGTTGAGTTAATTTTAATTTAAAATAAAGAAATGTCTGCATAGGTTTTATTATAAAAATAATTGTTTTTCTAATTTCGATAATATTTACTGTTGTTTTGATTATAAACAAATTTGTGTTCGTACGTGCCTTATTTAGTTAAAATTATATTTAATTATTACTGTGTATTTTAAATGTGTCCCACCTGCTAAATAATAAAAAATATTCAAAAATACGTTTTTAGATTTTTATTTCAAAGATTAAAACTTAAAAAAAAAATGTCTAGCAAATGCTAAATTCTTGTGTTTAGGCTTAAAACATGATAATAGAAAATAAGATAATATTTGTATAGAGCGATGTCTATAAAACAATGGAGTAATCAACTTGAGAATTTGTATTATGTCAAATGTCAAATTTGTATGGGTAAATCAAAATGTATTTTTATAAGACAAGTATTATTTTATAAAAATTATTGTACACTTAAAAAAAAAATTTGACCAACAAAAATATACTGAGAATAAGGAAAATAATTTAAGGGTCAACTTTAAGCGAAACACCCTGTAAGTACATTTTAAATTAATTTGGTATCAAATTTAGGTATGTTTACACCTAAATTATACACTTTTACTAAAAATAAGTAAACTTTGGACTAGACGTGTATTAGGTACATATACCTATAGGTGTTCAAAAGTTCAAATTATATCTATTTCTAAAAAAATAAAAACCCATAAAATCATCACTTCGTAATACATTAAAATTGCCCATAAGAAAATATAAATACATCTTTGAAAATACTGTTTTAGTGTCATTTTCTAAAATCAATTTCAAAGTTCAAAATACATTTTTGTGAGAAGATATAAATCATTTTACAGAATTTGTATATTATATTTTATAAAATAGTTACAAAACTAAATCTAAAGGTACAATTTACAGGTTAATTTTAATGTAAAAAGTTTGCCCATTAATTAATAAAAAAGTAGTTACCTAGTCTAAATTTTCCGCGGGCAATTTTAACACATGCACATTTAACAAAATAATCCGATTTTGCCCGATTTCTATCGACCGTCGGCGCACGTAAAGTGACACGTCACCGGCTTTTTGAGGAGCAAGTTATTTAACCTTCCCGTTTCATTCTGCGGTCAATCGTCGCAACATCCGCTGCTCAGTTCAATTTGCATTCGTTGTTTACCACACGTCAATAAAGTAAGTACACATCAATTGTTTTAATTCATAGTTTGCACTTGTTTTACCTTTAGTCTTTTGACGTTTCATGGAACCCGGCACGTCAAAGATTGAGGTTATGTTGGGATTAAATTGGGGTTATATTTAATTGAATTGTTTTAACGGTTGTTTTGCGATTTTCCTTTTTTCTATTCTAAATTCTGTAATATTCTAAAATTAAAATTGTATGTTTGTATACAAATAATTTTAATCCAAATAGGCATTGTGTAACTTATGTACTTAATCTAATGTAAAAATATAGGTAATTGATTAGTTACAGTTATTTGTTAATTTTTAATGCAATTATTTTTAAAGGCGACAATTATTTTTTCGAATATAACGTGGTAAAATTTTACCGATAAAAAGTTTTTTGCTTTATTTGGGATTAAAATTTCGTCAAGTGGCAGTAATCTTAATATAATAAGATTATTGCCATGGTTCAAAGATTGCCACTTGATTGATTGTATGAATACAGAGTACGTCTGTATTTTTTCCACTTCACAATTATTATATGGCATGTGCGAAAAATCAGAGAAAAAAAACATATAAAATTAAATATTCCCCAAATTTTAATAGTACCAATTGTTCCTAAAGCTGACATAGCTAAGTTAGCAGACACAAATTTTATAATGCCATAATTAGGTGCTAATAAAATGCTAATTAAATAAACTATTTTTAAAAAAAAACCTATACTGCCAGCTTTAGAAAAAGTTAGAAGAACAATAGTTAAATGCTAATTTAATGCACTAAATAAACATCGGACCTTCAGCATTTGCTTATTTGTGTTGTTAAATTGGGTTCTTATACGCCTTTCAATCTCTTCCTGTATTTTTTATTGGAAAATGCCTGTTTGCCAACCCATCCATTATACCATCTATGAAATTGATGGGACTTACTTACTCCATACCAAGAAAAACCGATCATACAAATATTCTGGCATGTTTAACAGTTGGTTTCACGTACTTTGGATTGGACCGTTGACCAACGTCGTATTTCATCAGAACTAAAAATGGCATCGCTGAATAGTTTTTTTTCAATCGTCCATCGTCCAGTTTAAATAAAAACGCTTTATTTCTAGGAGAAATTAGTGTTTTTATGCAGGTCTTCTAATTAATAGTTTTGCTTCTACTAATCTTCTTTGAATAGTTTTGTATCCAACATTTAATCCAGCAATATTGCCTTTAATTCGTGGTGCATTTTGACTAATCTTTTTGATGAGCCTGTCAGGGTTGTACTTAGTAATAATCCTTGAGATATTGCTTTTCTCCGTTTAAAAATGATAGTCATATTTTCTCTTTTATTTCTCGGCAAGTTTCAACCCCCTTTCTTCAACAAAACTTTCTTTGCTCAGAATTTGGGATAATATACTGTTTTACCTTTTAATTGTATTTTTTATTAAATGTTGTAATAAAATTAATATGTAATTTGTCTTTGTTTTTGACAACCTGAAATGTCAAACGAACATAAATTTGGCTTTTTACATGACACCTGTCTTCCTATATTATTTTGTATTGTCTTTTCTTTAAGATTTCCTTAAATAACAGAAGATAGATTGAATTTTGAAATTTGTTGCTTTACTTTTGTCCAATAGTGTAATTGGTCAAACTATCTTAACAAAGAAGCTATCAGATTTTGATCTCCTAAAAAAATAGATACAATGGAAAAACAGTGTTTGGAAGTCCACTCCATAGATAAAGAAGGTTACTCTTCATTTGTTAATTGTAAGATATTTTTATTATGGACAATTTTAACAATATAATCTTGGTTACACAATTGCCCTTTTATTTTAAATCTGGTGAAGAATTTTATCACTTTTTAGTAGACGCATTTCCTAAAAAATTCCGTTATAATCCAAGTAACGTCCGTTACTTTTAACTGCAGTTAGTTTTTAGAGACAGCGTGTAATTTATTTAATAGCACACCATGTTGTTTCTAATACTATCATTTGTTAAAAAATGCCTTAACTGCGTATATTTATTACTACTTACCAAGTTTGTGCGTCACGGAACAAAAAACAATGTAATTATTAATTGTTAATTGTGTATTGAAAATGATGTTTCACTTTTATCGATTAGGAGAACAGTCAGGTTTCAAAATTCTCACGAATTTATCATTCAATATACCTACCCTATTATTCATAAATTATTTCAAAGTATTATATTAAATTAGCGATTAACTTGATTATCCTGACATCAAAATAAATTATTCATTGGATAACAAAAACAAAATAAAAAGTAAGTATACATAGGTACCTACTAAAATAAAAAAACAATCTTTTATTCAATATTTTTCCGATATTCACATTTTCCTTTGAAATTAGCTAGTCCACAATGGATTGTGAGCTAGTCCAAATTTTTAAATTTTGTTTTGATAGGAGTCAAATTGATCCTTTTGCCAATTTTGATCACACAACCAAGATCACAAACTAATGTTCTGGTGTTTTTATCATGACGAAATCAAGTGACAGGTGGTTTATGGGGCAATTTTAAATATTAACAAAACAAAAAATGACAAATTTTAGGACATTTCAGGACAAGACCAATTTTATAGGACATATGCTGAATTTTAGTACTTTTAGGACATTTGAAATTATAGTCAACAAAAAACCATGAAAAGCGTCTTCCCTGAACATTTGATTTAAAAATATATACCTATTTAGGTTTTAAGTCGGCGATTTTAATTTAAATATAAATTTAATTTAATCTAATTTTATTACTTTTTGTTTCAGCCAAAATGTCTCTCGACGAAGTAAGTATAATTTACTTTACCTATTAAAATTTATTATTACATAATTATACACACAAATCAACAATTTATTGTTTATTAATTAATCTAAAGTATTATTTTTAATGTATTAAACATGTGTACAGCCTAATTACATATTTCACAATTTTAGACATTATTTGAACCGTATAATTAGCTAAGTACTTACTATTTTAATTTATTCAAACCGGCATTTTTGTCTCATTTTGTTTCATTAGTAATTGATTATACATACGTTAATAGTTACTGTAGAATCCTGATCCAAAAATATGAAATATTTTTCTAAATATTTTAAAATTACGCCGAATTATTTTATTGTTGAACAAGTCTGGGACTCCCCTATATTTTTTTAAATAAGTTATTAGCCTGGATACCCCATAACTTTTTTAGAATTGTGACTTTTTTGTGCACTAAATCGCAAATAAATAAATAAAAACTAAACAAACTGTATTTTTTGTAGAATTTCAACAAAGCTGCCGAAAGTGTGAAGAACCTTAAGAGCAAACCTTCCGATAACGACCTTTTGGAGTTGTACGGTCTGTTCAAACAAGCCACAGTTGGAGACAACACCACGCGTAAGTATACTATTTATAAATAGTAGTTATTATAACTACCAAAAATATTACTTTGTAAAAAATACTTTTTTTTTAATTTTAGCTCGCCCAGGCATGTTGGACTTGAAAGGCAAGGCCAAACATGACGCGTGGACCGCAAGGAAAGGAAAGTCCCAAGATGATGCCAAGGAGGCTTACGTCAAGAAAGCCGAGGCCCTCATCGCATCTCTTGGATGCAACTAAATTATTTTTTAATTACTTAATTGATTTAACAAGCATCACTTTTTTGACTTTTATACCTTATTAATTTGTTATACACATTATTTAAAAATATATTCTAATTATTATTATTTAAATAACTTATGGTTTTATTTATTTTAAATGCCTTTATTCAGTAACAACATAAATTTGCTATTTTAATATAATATAAAATGGGGTAAACATAGACATTAATTGTAAATTCAAAAGCATTACACAACAATATCATGACTAGTAGAAATAAAATATTTTATACAAAACTCTTACACATATAATTTTGTGGAACAGAACAAAATGATTGTGAAATGGTTGAAAATTTTTGGTATTAAATATCACATGCATCGATTCAGATTATAAATAGTCCTGAATTATGTGCTACACAATATTCTTTCCTTAAATTTTTGTAAAGGAAATTATTGTTTTTTGGTTATGGGTTAATAAATGTTTAAGTTAACATCTATATTTTACAAAAACACTGTGTGTTTAAGTTCACTCAATATTTATGCGTTTGTGAAACATTAAAATTAATTTATTTTCAACACCAAGGAATAAGTAAGTGGACAAAATAATGTTTATTTTTTAGCCTCTTAAAATTAAAAACGGTTTGTCAAATTTCGGATAAAATATCAAATTAAATTAATTTCCTTGTGGTAGTTGAATAAAATATTGTGTGCGACTATTGGTCAAAAGAGGTCGCACTAGTCGCACAATATACCTACTATTTCTTAATAGTTTTGCTAAAAAATACTTTTGATAATATTAAAGTCTAATAGCCATATGCATAAAAGAAGTACGTATCTATTAAACCAACCCAGCTTCAAAAAGTAGGCGGAATTCCTAAATTTTACATTTGTAAAAGTATATGATACTATCATAATCTTCCCTTCACTTGAGGATGTAGGTACCTAGTTTTTATACGATTTAAAGGTGGTATAAACTTGAATTAACAAGTTAAGTACAATTCTAATAAAAAACTAGAAACATGGTCCTATTATACCTATATCATTATGTTCTATTAAAATACAGGGTGTTACTTAATGTTATGCCCTTATTTAATGGGTGATTCTTGGGCTTCTTTTAAGTCAGAGTTCACATAAATGTATAACCTTAAAAGCTTGGTTTTTAATTTTATTCTTTTTTGTTTTTATCCAAAATTTCTAAAACCCTTATATAAAATTTTGTAATGGTATATTATGGTATAAAAAGTTTCAGATCTTGAATTGTTCATAATTCGTTTTTACTTTAGGGGTTTTTACTTTAAGGGTCAAGATACAATTTTTGTAAATATGCCCTAAATTATTAAGCTTGAAAATTAAAAACCGTTTTCTTTACACAATCTTGAGAACTGTTAACTGATTTTTTTGATTTAACTAACCTTTATGCATACAACCATTTTTTTTAACTTTAAAAAACCTGTATTCTTAAAAATGTTTTAAACAAATTTTTAAAATAAAAAAATGACTAGTTCAACTAAAATTAAAGTGGAAAGAAACTAATTTTGTAATTTGTAGTCGTATAACAAGGGACGCAAGAAGGTTTAAAGGTATTAAATTATTTTTTTTTACACAACACAAATGTTACAATAGCGTGTTTACCCGTCATATTTTTATGTCATGTGCAAAATAGGTCGCAATAACCTTTTTCTACAACCGAGCGAAAAGTACAAATTCGCGCTTTTTTTACTTTGTTGACAAAGTAACCAAAACGCTCGCTTAGTTACCATGGAAACCATAATAAAGATATGCCTGGTGTATCATCAACTTTTGACACAAAAGTAAAATTTGAGGTTATCAATAATTATTAATGACCTCAAATTTGACTTTTGTGATTAATTTCAACCAAACATTTTTTATGAAAACACCGGTTGCAGGGAAAAGCTTCAAAACCTATATTTAATATATGGGGTGTTTCTTAATTCAGGGGCATATCTATTATAGGGTTGTCAACTTCTGTCAAAAAAATCCGGGACATTTTGTGTGAATTTGCCTTAATTACAAAAATGATACAATCAACAATTATTAAGTAACGCCAAACAATTTGCATTGTATCATTATGTCATTTTTGTTATTATTTTACAGAAGTTGGGAACACTGATTTTATGAAAAAAATAAAAGGTTTTTCAATAGAGACGAGGCATTCTGGAACTAGATTTTTCAATAGGAAGATGACGTTTAGATCGGTTTGTTTTGACGTATTAATCATGGAACAGTATACGCTTTAAAATTTGTACAAACCTGTCGAAAATCATTATAAAACAACTTCTAGTATAGAGATTGTTCACTAAAAACAACCATACCCTTGAGAAAAACGATTTTTGCTATACATTCTTCGTTAAAAACGATACACCAAGTAACAGGCGTGTCAAGACTTACGAACGAAGTATTTGCCACATTAGTGACATATATTAATATGTGGCAAGACTCACAAAGTATTTTAAATTACGAATGAATTATGAAGCTGAATATCCAACATCAGTGTCTAGGTTATGTTCATATTCTTTAAACTACTTAAATCGTTTAAAAATCCAGGTGAATTACATACTAGAGGCGCGAATTTTAAATTAATTACATAATTTAAAAAAATTATACTTTCTTATTTATTTATGGTTTTGTTCGTATTTTTATTTTTGCATAACTTTAAATCGTAAGTCTTGACATTACTGTACATTACTAGAGTATCAAGGTCATTAAAGTGTTTTGAATCCAGGCATTCCTCAAATATTGATTGAAAAAATATGTGGTATACCACACAATTAATACCATAGGTCGCCGTTAATGAAAAACTCTTTATGAATAAAAGTTCCTATAAGCATGTGTCCAATAAAGCTTCTTTTTGTGTAAAGCTATAAATTTTAGAATACAAATCTGTGTCGCACAATAATTTTCTACAAAATTCAACTTTATCAGCTTAGAAACATGTTTACAGGAGTTTTTTTTCTTCATGTTGTGATAGGATACGCTCCTGAATTCATCTGTTAACCTCTTAATCCTATCATATGACCACGGCACCTGCCTCAGCTCTGGTCTCCGAGAGAGGTGGACAGTCGGTCCAACTGTTTGTTATGGGATCGAAGCACTCGACGGACGAGATGGTGCACTGCGCGCGGTAAAAAGCAGTGGCGTGCGTCTGCGCGCCGCCGATAACGTACAGTTGACCGTCCATAGCCGCCACGGCTGGGCCCGAACGCTCCAGCTTCATGGGAGGCACCTTGAACCATTTGTTCTGAAAAGAACACTTTTATCAGTTAATGGTTCGTAGTTTAAACTATTTCATTGTTTATTTAGTGAAACCCCATGTCACTAATGTATAAAAAACGAACGGTGTTTTTTGAGTGTCACGAATTTATTTTAATTTAATTTGACAATTGCTTTGCTAACACAGTAGCTTCTGAAGAACAAACACAAAACACAAAAAAGTATCATTTTTGTTACTTACAACCAAAATTGCTACGTTTTTTTCACAGAAAAAATAATAAAAAACATAATTTTTTATTTAACTCCTACAAAAAACCGCTCTACTTAGCTTTTCAATAAAAATGACGAAAAAAACACGCGCAAAGATTTTTTGTCACAAAAAATAATAAAAAACTAGTGATGTAAGCAGAAAAAAAACGTTGTTTTTTTTTAAAACATGTTTTTTTAGAAAAAAACAAAGGGGTTTGTTTTTTTTCAAAAATGTTGTTTTTTTCAGAAACATTGTTTTTCCTTAATAGAGATTATAAGGGAAAAAAATAAGCTTAAAGCAGAAAAATTTTGAAACTTTAAAATGGGTAATCGTTATTTATAATAGAGGGTTTTAAATAAAAACACCAAATAAAAACTTGCTTCTAAAATAAACATACATGAGTGTCTATGAAAATTAAAACAAAAAACAAAACTGAAATAGTTTTCATCTATAAAATTTTTATAAAACAAAAAAACGAACGCTTTTTTAATAATTATTATTATAAAACTGTTTTTTATAATTTGAAAAAACAAAAAAAAAACGGTGTGCATCGATATTAATTTTTAGCGCATCGATATTGAAGATAATCATTTCTATGATTAAAGCGATCTGTTAATAACAGATGGCGACACTTGTCATACATTGTTTTGTAAATTTTTTATAAAAAAACCCGAACGCCTTTTTAATTATTATAAAACTGTTTTTTATAATTTGAAAAAACAAAAAAAAACGGCGTGCAAGTTTTTTTTATAATTTGAAAAAAAAAAACAATGTTTTGTTTTTTTCTGAAAACGTTTTTTTTTTCAAATTTTAAAAAAAAACGTTTTATTTTACATTACAGTTAAATAACAAATTATTATTGTTTTTAAAAAAAAACACATATGTTATTTAACTCCTAGAGAAAAACTGCTTGACTAACCTTTTCGAAAGAGTACCTCTCGACGGAATTAAGCACCTCCTGCCTGTTGGTCCCCCCCACCACGTACAACGAGCCGTTGAGAACGGCCACGCCCATCTGGAACCTCGCTATCGACATCGACGGCAACTGTTTGAACTCCCCGGTGACTGGATTGTAGCTCATCAGGTCGTGCAGGTTGCGTTGGTTCAGGGAGCAGCCGCCCACCATGTAGATCAGACCTGAAAGAGAAGCGAATGCGAAAAATGTCGTTTTGATATTTTTTTTTGGGATTGGTACCTTTATAGGAGACCAGTCCCATGCTGAAGCGGGGTTCTGGAAGACTTCCGAAAAATTCCCATTCGTCCAATTTCGGGTCGTATCGTTCGATGCTACCGCTTATGTCTGTGTCGACCCAGCCTCCCATTGCGTATAGGTAACTATATAATATATAGTGTTAAATAAAAACTTTAACAAATTTTCGAAGGCTGTAACTCATTTGTTTAATTTAAGACTTAAATTTGTCTTGTTCGCCCGGAAATTTTTGAAATATTGGCAAAAACATCGATGTTTTTTTTACGAGTTACAAACGTTACAATTTTTTTTTTAATTGTAGGTAAATGTTTACTACATACAAAAAATATATAAAAGATTAAGTGAATTTCACTTCCTTTCACTTCTGGTTTCACCGGAAATGCTTTTACATAAGTACCTATAGGTATATAAGTAAATTAAATTATTAAAATTTTTTGAAAAATGGACAAAAACATCAATTTTTCTCTTTTTACGATCGTTACAATTTTTATTTAAATAGTATATAAATGTTTACTTAATACAAACAAAATATAAAAAAATTGTGAATTTACTTATTTTATTGTTTTTTCTAAAAAAGGCAAAATAATCTAAAATAGTATTAGATTAAAAAAAAATTAATAAAAAAATATTAGTAAATCATTAGACACCACAACAATGGACTTACGGCATTTTAGAGAAAGTCCTAAAAATAAAAGAAAAACAAGGGATTGTATTTAACGGGAAAATGCAAAAAAATGGGAAAAAACATAAAAATAAAAAATATAATAAATCTTCTTACCCATCCAAAGCACAAAGTCCAAATTCGCATCTAGAAACCAACATTTTGGCCACCTGAGTCCACTGATTTAGAGACGGGTCGTACCTCTCGCAACTCGAAAGAATATTGGGCCCCTCTTCGCCCCCCACCACGTAAATTTGCCCGTTTAGGGAGGCAACCCCCGGCACAAGCCTGTTTACGCGCATATCCGGTATCTTAGTCCACTCCCTAAAGAAAATGTGGTAGAAAAATGTACGCAGTTTCTAAATATTATCAGCATAAACTGAGACAAAAATTTGGTAATTTTAAACAAATATATTTAATATATTCCAAAATTAATTATTTCAACAACAAATTGAAATCAAAAAAGTTTATTTTAAATTATGAAATGCAGTTTTATTATAGATTTTTTTTTTGTTCTTTAAATAATTAAATTTTAAATCAATTAATCATTATTATTATAATTTATTATGAGCGATTTTTCTACTATTATAATGGTAGGAATATATTGATAGTTTATATTATTATCCTAAATCCAGGCCTGGCATTAACTAAATGTCGGATTTTTGATAATATTTAATTCACACATCAACAATAAAAATAAAGTAATAACCTAAATGAACTTACTTTGTAAATGTGTCAAACTTTTCTATGGAGACATAGTCCATCTCTAGGCCTCTGTCCCAAACACTGTTCAGTTCTCTTTTTGACCCGCCTATAACGTAAATATCTTTTTTCGCGCATTTCCTCGGTCTCACATTTAATTTAACTAGACAACCTTTCTGGTTAACTAAGTCATTGTGTATGGATCTTAGGGCTATCTTTAAACTACTATCGTTGCACTGGGAAATGGCTTTTTCTAGCAAACCTGGCAAAATAAAAAAATAATTTTAGCCAAGCTTTTATTACAGATTCCTTAATTGAACAACTGGTAAAAACAAAAAACCCATGAAAACAATTTGAAAATCATTTTGATGAATAGTTAGAAAAAAGGCTATCACATAAAAAAACTTACCAAAGGATATTAAAGGTAACCTAACATGTTCCAGGACATCAAAAACATACTGTCTTCTGTCAAGAAGATTTGTATTCACCCATCTAAGAGCTGCTTGAAATATTTCAAACTCAGATTCAATTCTTAAATTTTCCGATGATAAAAAATTGCAAAATTCGGATTTTTCCAATTCGAAAATTTCGTCTTCATTACAAATTTTAGGAAAGTTTTTTTCTATAAAATCTATTGAAGCACTTCTAAGCTGCATCCAATTGTGACTATCAGCAAATCTAAAGAAAAAATTTTTTTTTATCCAACAAAAAAAAAGCAAAACTTCTTACAAATAAATTCCTATAGCATTTAGGGGATGCAATTCCTTGATTAAAAACTCTGTGCATCCTTCAACTACTTCGCTAAGTTCCAACATATCAGCAGCTATCATTAATTCCTGTACGTTGTTCTGGTTAATATTCACTTGCCCTGAATAAATAAAATCTAAGAGAATCTCAAATATATAGGAAGACAGGCCATGAAGTTTCACAGATTGTTTATCTGTTTCACATAAGCCCCCAGTGAACATGGCTTGGAAATAGGGGCTGCAAGCTGCTAAAACAGCCCTATGTGCCTGAAAATGAAAATGTTATAAATAATTAATAACCTCTACCAGTACTACTGGTCCAAAACATTTTCAAGTAAAGGTGGCAAATAAGGTTAAATAATTTGTTACTTTACCTGAAATATTTTGTCTCCTGCTACAATGTCAACATCGCAAAACCTCCTGCTGTTTCTTAACTGATTGAGATTGTTTAAAACTTTGGAAATATATTCGGTACAAGTATGGTTTGTTTTGGTCACACAAACGTCGTCGAAAATATTATTGTTTTTTTGCACTTCCGTTAAACTCTTCGATATTTTCAACGGGGGCATTATAAATTCCATTAAAAACTTCATATACACTTTTTTACCTAAACCGTATTATAAATATAAACAGACCCGCCTAAAATTGGCGTGAAACCAAAAAATACTACGCACATTCCTCGAAAATAATTGTTATCGATATATTATTCATCGTATGCAGATCAATGGAACAATTTTTTGAATAAAAATGCGAATAAAATGCAAATAAATTATTGACGTCTGTCACATATAACCAATTTGATTGGTCGCCAATAAAATAAACAAACAAGTCACTAAAAATGTAGGCCAAAACGCGCCATCTATCTTTTTTAAGGCGTATTCATGGTCACCAATAGGAAAATAAGATAAAAAGTTTAAACTGTGCAAAGTAATGGTTGCGTTGATGTTTATGAAAATAAAAAAAAGAAATAAGCAATAGAACTAAAGATTAGTAGATTATGTCATAAGGAGTAGAAGTGACTCTTTTTGTGGTGAGTGCAGAGATTGACGGCCGAAGCGTAGCTGAGGCTGGCAACTGTACGAAGCACAAAAAGAGCTTCTACTCCAAATAACATATACAATTTTTTTTTCAAGGGCGTAATATAAATAGGATAAGAAATAGAATTATTTTATCTACTCATAACTCATGTGGTATAAAATTTTGGCTAAAAGCATTAGAAATTATTGAAAAAAACTAAAAAAACTTATAACCCTTACTTACAATGCCGATAAATATCCTAAACCATAGATAACAAAGCCTAAACTAAAACTAAACACTGCTCTGTCAAAATGCTGCGCTTGAATTAATTTTGACGTACTGACATTTGTTTGAAGTTTCGACATTGGCGACTCGTCTATCATCATAATATTATACTAATAAACTAGTTTTTCTTTATTTCGTTCAATTAAAATTTAATAAATAATCACCAAATATTCCGTGTGATTGCTTTGTATGAAATGATAAATTAATTTTATTATTTGACGTTTATTGAGTCACCTATGGATTTACTTCTATCCCTAGGCTTTTTTGAGTTTTTTGTCTGCCGCTAATGAAAAAGACGCACTTCAACTATCTCTATACATGCATATAAGGTTGTATATCATGGCCGCTTGAAAAAAAAAATAATTTTTAACTTTGGCTCTTATTTTTGCATATACCTATATAAAACTGCGCAGAAGGACAAAATAGGTCTGTGAATTGGTTTTATGTGTTGGCCATGGAGCGATCGCGTATTTTTGTCAATAACAACTAAAATACAGATAACCGAGCAGATAACCATGTACACTCATGTCATGCCTTATAGGCGTTTTTATGCTTACTTAATGACTATGATGTCATAGAAATAATACTCGTATTATTTATGTGTAAAACGACTCCAAGTTGGAGTCTCCAACACCAAAGATAATACTCTAACACCCCTTGCATTCAAATATCCCGCTAACTTCCAACGAGCATGATTCACCAATAGAATCGGGCCATTTGTATATGAGGGTTTTATGAGCGATTTTATTGGTCGACGTTGGAACTACTCTACGTCACTAAGCGTGGTTGATTCCTATTGGATGAAGGTAGACAACCGGGTTCTAGAATTAAAAACTGTCACAATTTGCTTGTCGGTCTTGTTTGTCGCCGGTGTATTTAATGAATTAAGTGGTCGATAAACTGCTAAAATGAAGCGGTTTGGGTTGTTGGTAGTGGCGTTATTCTGCCTTACGGGTAAATAAAAGATCTATTTGTGCTGGGAAATTTTATTTTAATATTGCATTTTTTAAGGGTTTGTAAGAGCAGATGAAGATCCTTTGGTGCAGGGAACCGTGGAAAAAGTTGATTTAGATCTGGGAGCCAGCAGGGATGGCTCAAGAACAGGTATTTTTTTAAATTGCTATTCCCTTATTTTTGCATAGTTCATCAGATGTTCTTTTACCAAAATATTTGTGTTCTTTGCAAAATTAATGCGTTTATCCTTCCTATCCAGTACTGAGTAACTAATTTGATGCCATCCATAACTAAAAACACCCAAGCATTACAGTACAATTGTTTAAATTTTATTGTTGATTTTGGTTTACATTAATTTCTAAAAAATACAATTGAATAACTGTAATCGTTGCCAACAGTAGGATTCCTACAACATTTAGTAGTTAGGTAGGTACCAATGTTACCAAAAATTTATTTATTAAGGTAAAATCATTATCACAACATTATAAAATAAAATCATTTTAACAGCGCCATCTGATGACATTTTGACACACTGAGTATACGCTAATTTTGAAAAAAAAAAATTAGTATTTTTAAGTTTTTTAAAATTGTTTTTATTTTTTAATCAAGTCTTTGTTGTGTGATTTATTTTTGTATCAAAAATCCTAGTTGTGGTTCTGTTTGGCTGATTTGGTAGGATTTTCACTAATTAAATTAATTGAATTAATATTTACTGAATCTAACTCTAAAAATTATTGATTTAATCCAATAAAAATGATGTTCTAGGGGTTTGAAATCAAGCAAAGAATTAAATTTTCTGAGAAATGTAAAATATATTTTTTTCCTCTTTGTAACTCTGTGATATTGATAATTATGAGCTGTTTTAAGATTGTCAACTTAACCTAGATATAACTGTTTTATAAATGTCAATATAACTGTCTTAATAATCTCAACTCAAGCTTAATATAACTGTTTTAAAAATGTCAATATTACTGTCTTAAAAATGTCAACTTAAGCTTAAGAATATCAATTTATACAGTAGTCAAATATTAATATTTTTTAATTATTATAACTTATCTTTGAATATGTGGTCAGCAGGCAAAATGTGGTATTTTTTTCGATAATAATTAATCTTATATAAAAATATATAAAAACTGACCACAAAGTAGGATATTTTTAGTCTTAAATTTTAAGTAACAAATTGAATTGTATTGAATACAGCATTTACCATTGATTTTCTGTCATTGGTTTTTTCAACCTTTCCCTTGGACCTTTGATCATTAAATATTGTTTATATTTATCCACTGTTTCTTTGTCAATAACATCAGTTTTGCTTTCATATTTACTATAAAACTTCTCCTGTATTATGGGAGCTAAAACTTACTGTTATGCATAACCTTCAAATTAATTCTCACGTATTTCATACGTACGCATTTTAAGTGGCTCCCCTATTTTTATATTAGACCTGCCTGGAACTTGGCTTTCCAAAAAGCACAATTTAAAAGGTCTTTGTTTAGCTCCATTTTCTGTCTCCGCTTCCGACATTTTTTAAGTTTGATCGATACTTGTACGTTTTAGACGATGAGGTTGTTCAACGGGAAGAAGAGGCCATCAAATTGGACGGCCTCAATGTGGCGCAGCTCAAGGAGCTCAGAGACAGAGCCGAAAAATTCACCTTCCAAACCGAAGTTAACCGAATGATGAAGCTCATCATTAATTCCCTTTACAGAAATAAAGAGGTAAGTCATTCTACCAAGAAAACAAGGTATATTCTTCAGTAGAACTCTTAGTTTGAAAAGGATATTTTAAATTTTATTTTCTTTCTCTTTCTATTAAATTATTCGATTTTTAGATTAAATTGTCGAATAATTTAAAGATCACACGTAAAAAACGATCTAAGTCAAAATATTAACATTTCAAGAAAATATTATTAATGAAAAAAAACTATTTTATATGGTTTTCAATCAAATAAAATATATTGTTTTAAAGTAAATAATATTTTCCTACTACTAAATACCAAATAAAATAAATGAAAAAAGTGGTAAGAAAAATTTAATTTTAATTTTTAGGTTAAATGTTTTAAATAATGGGTTTTAAAATAAAATATCTTGTTTTAAAGCAAATATAAAGAATAAAATTAAAAGTGTCAAGTTAACATTACAAGAAAAATGTAAATTTTTTCTAAATTTATGTATTACAAAATTGTATTTACAAATAATTGCAATTTAGGTTTAGTTGCCAAATAAAAACCCTAAATTGGCCATTGGCCAACATTAAATAAAACAAACTAAACTTGTGAAAAATATTATATTATGCTTTTGGGATGTTTCAATTGAGTTTCTGTTATGGACTGTCCTTGAAGATCATTAGCTTCCTTGTCTTGGCACATTTCCTGCACAGTGCAAAAAGAAATATTTATTTTAGTTTTTTAAATTTTATTTTAATTTCTTACACTGCAGTACTTGATTTCTTATAGTCTTCAAAGATCATAGTATGCTTCCTGGTTTTGTCCTATTTCTTGTACACTGTAAAAAGAACTATGATTTATATTGTTTTTTTCCAAGTCTATTTTAATTTCTTTCAAAGTACTTGATTGTTTTTTTAATAGATCAGCTGTTAAGTGTAAAGTTGGAATTGTATCCACTTTTAAAGACTTTTTTATGGGAATGTTGTTTGTATGTTTTTTTGATTTAATTTTCCTTCTTCTCGTTGAAGTAAATGGAACAAATACAAGTCACAAAACAAAAAAAAATATTAACCTAAATTATTTTTTTATTTATATATCTGTCACAGATAATCTGTTTATACTAAAGGAAAGTAAGTCTGAAAAACTACTGCTATTGAATTTAAAATAAATCTACTTACTATCCTTAACATCAATTTTTTCAAACCAATACTAAGGAAATGTATTGGATTTCCAGGATTTTTTCTTTTGGTATTGTTTTTACAGATTTTCACTTGACAGGTAGACATTTTTAACTCAAGAAACAAGTACCAGGGTTTGATATTACTTTCAGATTTTCTTGAGAGAATTGATTTCTAACGCATCGGATGCCTTGGACAAAATAAGGATGCTTTCTTTAACCGATAAGGAAGTTTTGGATTCCACGCCTGAAATGAACATTCGCATTAAGGCCGATAAAGAGGCGGGCATGTTGCATATCACGGATACGGGTATCGGTATGACGAAAGAAGACCTCGTGAACAATCTCGGTACCATCGCCAAGTCCGGTACGGCCGAGTTCTTGAGCAAAATGCAAGACTCCTCGTCTTCGCAAGACATGAACGACATGATTGGTCAGTTCGGCGTCGGTTTCTACTCGAGCTTTCTGGTCGCCGACAAGGTAATCGTCACGACGAAAAACAACGCCGACAAGCAGTACATCTGGGAGTCGGATTCTTCGAGCTTCAGCATCGTGGAGGATCCCAGAGGAGATTCGCTGAAAAGAGGTTCCACGATTTCGCTTCAGCTGAAACCCGAAGCCAAGGATTTTTTGGAAATCGAAACCGTTCGCAATCTCGTGAAAAAATACTCGCAATTCATCAACTTCCCCATCTACCTGTGGGCCAGCAAAACCGAGAGCGTGGAAGAACCGATCGAAGACGAAGAACCACCGACGGATAAAAAAACTGAGGATTTGGACGAAGACGCAGCCGTAGAGGAAGAGAAGGAAGAAGATAAACCGAAAACCAAAAAAGTGGACAAGACCGTGTGGGACTGGGAGTTGCTCAACGACAGCAAGCCCATTTGGACTAGGAAGCCTTCGGAAGTGGAAGATTCCGAGTACGACGAGTTCTACAAGGCGCTCACCAAAGACTCCAAGGAGCCTCTGACGAAAATTCACTTCGTCGCCGAAGGTGAAGTCACCTTCAAGGCTTTGCTCTACGTGCCCAAAGTGCAGCCTTCCGAAAGCTTCAACAGATACGGTGAGTGCGCTAAATAATTATTAATGTCAATCTCAGAATTTCAACATAATAGTTTTTTGTTTTTTTTATCCAAAATTTGGTAATTTTTATAAATCGAATTTATTAAACTCCAAGTTAAGGTCATTTATTTAAAAATTACGCGGTTTTGGCTAAATTTAAATTTTTTATTCTGTAATTCCCCTACTAACAAAATGCTGAAATTAACAATTTTTACAATTCTCTTCAAGGTCATTTGCGTCAAATTTAAACTCTTTCAAGGTCATTTATGTCAAAATTAAACGGTTTTGCATAAAAAAGTCATTTTTATTATTCTGCAATATTATTTTTAGGAAAACATCCTAAAAAATGGTAAATTTTATAATTATCTTAAAGGTCATTTACGTCAAATTTAAACTCTTTCAAGGCTTTTTTATGTCACAATTAAAAATTTTTGGCTAAAATGTAAATTTTTCTTTATAAAAAAATTAAAAAACACAATTAATCGCAAAATTTCAGTATGCTTTTTGTAAGGAAAATTCCCATACTAAAAAATGCTGAACTTCATCTACGTCAAATTTAAACTTTTTCAAGGTAATTTATGTCAAATAAAATGGTTTTGGCTAAAAAAATCATTTTCTTATTATTTTGTAAAAAATGACAAAAACAACTTAAATCGCAGAATTTCAATGTTTTTTAGGAAAACATCCTATACTAAAAAAGGTTGATTTTCTAATTATCTTCAAGGTCATTTACGTCAAATTTAAACTCTTTCAGGGTTTTTTATGCAAAACTAAACAGTTTTGACTAAAATGTAAATTTTATTATTCTTTATAAAAAATTTAATCGCAAATTTTTAAGGAAAGTTCCCATACTAAAAGAAATCCTGTGATTAACAATTTTTTATAATTCTCTTCAAGGTCATTTACGTCAAAATTAAACGACTAAAAAATTAATTTTTTATTATTTTGTAGAAAATGTCAAAAATAACTTTAAATCGCAGAGTTTCTTAGGAAAACATACTATGCTATAAAATGGTCGATTTTCTAATTATCTTCAAGGCCATTTACGTCAAATTCAAACTCTAACAAGGATTTTTATGTCAAAATTAAACGGTGTTAAATTTTTTTACTCTGTATAAAAGAATTAAAAATATCTTTAATCGCAAAATTTCAGTATGCTTTTTATATGGAATATTCTCAAATTCCAAAATAAACATTTTTTATAATTCTTCCATTTATGTCAAATTTAAATTTTTTAAAGGCCATGTTAAAATTAAATGGTTTTGGCTTAAAATGTTATTTTTTAATTATTAATAATAAATTTAAATCGCAGAATTTTAATGTGGGTCATTTTATTTCAAACGCCACCATGGCCTGTTTCTTCTTAATTTAAATAATCCATGCATAAAATAAATATTTCAAAATCAATAAAGGATTATTAGAATTTCCTAATTTCCTTAATGTAGGTGTATCCTCTATTTCACAAGTTCTATGTTGAATGTTGGAAATTATATTTATTTTAAGGAAAAAAAAAGAGGTGGGTGAATCAACTATAAAAAATGTTTTCCTTTCCTTCATAATCAATCTTGAGGGCCGCTACAAAACATAAACAAAGAAATTTTGTTGAATGAAAACTTCTTTTTGAATTTTGCAAAATGAGAACGTTGCAGACTTAAATTCTTATATTTATTAGTTTGTTGTTTTTAATATTGCAATAAATATCTTTTCAACAATTGACTGCACGTTTTACCTTATTGCAGGCACCAAGACCGACAACATCAAACTATACGTGCGCCGCGTATTCATCACCGACGAGTTCAACGACATGATGCCGTCGTACCTGAGCTTCGTACAAGGCGTCGTCGATTCCGACGACTTGCCTTTGAACGTGTCGCGCGAGACCCTCCAGCAACACAAACTGATCAAGGTGATCAAGAAGAAGTTGGTGCGCAAGGTGCTGGACATGCTCAAGAAGATCCCCGACGAGGAGTTCGCGAAATTCTGGAAGGAGTTCTCCACCAACATTAAGCTGGGCACGATCGAAGACCCCAGCAATCGCACGCGATTGGCCAAGTTGCTGATGTTCCACAGCTCCAACGGCGAGGATTTGACGAATCTCGCCGATTACGTTAAGAGGATGAAAGGTAAGCAGGACAAGATTTTCTATATCGCCGGGTCGTCCAAGGAGGAGGTGCAGAAGTCGCCGTTCGTGGAGAGGTTGTTGCGTAAGGGGTACGAGGTTTTGTACATGATCGAGGCGGTGGATGAGTACGCGATTTCCGCCATTCCGGAGTTTGAGGGTAAAAAGTTCCAGAACGTCGCCAAGGAAGGTTTCTCTCTAACCGAAGCCGAAGGTGGTAAAGAGCAATTGGAGCAATTGCAGAAGACGTACGAGCCTTTGACGAAATGGTTGAACGATGAGGCTTTGAAGGACCAAATCGCGAAAGCCACGGTGTCCGAGAGGCTCAGTGACTCTCCGTGCGCCTTGGTGGCCAGTTTGTTCGGTTGGACCGGCAACATGGAGCGTTTGGCGGTCTCCAACGCGCACCAGAAGTCCGACGATCCTCAGAGGTCCTACTACTTGAACCAGAAGAAGACCTTGGAGGTCAACCCGCGGCACCCTTTGATTAGGGAGTTGTTGAAGAGGGTCAAGGACGATCCTTTGGACCCCACCGCCAAGGATATGGCTCTGATGCTGTTTAGAACTGCCACGCTGAGGTCGGGGTACATGCTGAGGGAGACGGCGGACTTTTCGCAATCTATTGAAGTCATGATGAGGAAGAGTCTCGGGATTCCGTTGAACGAGCAGGTGGAGGAGGAAGATGATGCACCTGACGGAGACGGAATTCCGGATGATGAAGAGAACGGCGATCTCAAAGATGATCACGATGAACTTTAAGTGTGTGTGTGTGCTGTTATTGATTGTTGTTACGCAATCGCAAAGACTGTTTCTTTTTTCTATTTGTAAATTTAAATTAAAAATAAATCCTTATTTAATTTACTTTCTTTTATTTTTCATCCACATCTACGATTCTACAATTGTAAGTTCAATCTACAATTGTAACTTGAACTTACAATTTTAGGATAAAAATGGCAAAAATCAAAGTTAGTTTTGGCCGAAACTTGTGAAATTTTTGTTGACCCTTTGGAAGCTATAATTGAAGGATAAAAATTGCAGAAATCAAACTTAATTTTGGCTGAAAGTTGTGAAATTTCTCGACGCCTATGCTATGTATATTGACAATAAATTATTGTGCGAAAACAGGAAACAATATTGAAAACTGGTTGGATGATCACATCAGACTGAACTAGGGTTTTAAAATGTCGAAAAAAACCCGCAAAAATTGAGGGAAAAACTATTTTTTACGTTTTTTTTTTCAAGGTCAAGAAAAAATTGCCTTGCCTGGAAATTTTTTTTTTTTTTGAAAAATATACATATTTGAAAAAGTAGCAATCTACCTACAACTCAACTTTATTGGAATTTAAAAAAATATCCTTTATTAAAGAAAAAAACTATATGTTGAATTAAATTAAATTGATTTAAGAAAATAAAGGTAATCATTAAATATACTGTTGGAAAAATTGTTTTTTTGGGAATTTTTTTTTGTTGAAAATATATACATTTGAAAAAAGTAGCAATTAACAACTTAATTCAAAAAAATATCCTTTGTTACAGAAAAAAAAATGTATTGAATTAAATAAAATAAAATGTCATCTTTGTCAGTTGGAAAAATTGACCTTTTTGAGAAAAAATATTTTTTTTTGTTGGAAACAAATTTAAAAAAAGGAACAATCAACAACTTAACATTATTTTAATTAAAAAAAATATCCTTAATTACAGAAAAAAACTATATATTGAATGAAATTAAATTGATTTAAGAAAATAAACGTAATATTTAAATATAGTCAGTTGGAAAAATTGACTTTTTTGGGAAAAAAATATATTTTTTTTAAATATATAAATTTAAAAAAGTATCAATCAACAACATAACATTATTTTAATTTAAATATAAAATATCCTTTATTACCGAAAAAAAATTAATATTGTTGTGCACTGTGAAATAAACTACGATAGTCGGGGCCAAAATTTTATATGTAGGTACCTATTATATCATAGGATATAATTTTAATTTAATTATAGATATTTTAAATTCTCTAAATTAAAAATATCAGTTTGACATAAAATTTAATATTTAAATATCTATTACTATGATATTTTTAATTCGAATAATATTCCTTTATACAAACATCTGTGTTTAGTATAAGTATGCAATTATAAAACTTTGACTTAACTTTAAACTTTATAAAACATATCATGTATATGTATGTATGTACATGAAGGGTACCCCACGTGGTGGTTTACTATGCAATTAAATAGTTTTAAATTAATTTTCAATCGATTTGCGATGTTTCAAACCATTTGAGTAGTAGCTTTTATTTGAGTTAGATAAAAAAAGTGTATTATTAATTTGTCATTTATTAAGTAACAGAAGTCAAAATATGTTTATGTCTATGGTAAGACAATACATGACCATCGTGGGTGCCTGGCCTTACAAACTTAAGGGATTTAAGCAAATAATATATAAAATGTACGGTTACTTGATTGTTGTGTCCTGTATTACCTTTTATGTTAACGAAATTATTGGAACCGTTATATTTTTATTGGTGGACCCTACAATAAATTACGTGCAATTGGGTCTTATTATAACCTGGATGCTAAATCTTTATAAATTGTATCTAACATCTCGACCGAAAATATTAAATTACCTGGATGATATTATTAATTATGAAAAAAGAATAAGGCAAAGAAATGAAGAAGATATCAATAAGATTTTGGATAAATACATAAATACAGCTAAAATAATGACATGGGTTCTTGTTTATACATCTGTTGGTACTTTTTCATTGTATATTTTGTCCGCTGCAATAAATAGTATGATGGGGAAATTAGTTTATAACAAATTCACAGAAACATACGAAAAAGAATTAATATTTTCTTTGTGGTTCCCTTTTTTTGATTCTCAAAAGTATTTTGCCTTCGCTTTTTTGATAAAAACATTCGGTAAGAAATGCAATGCTTTGGATCCAAAGAAATAATTTTGTTTTTTGAAATTTGAGGTGTAATGTATATCACTTTGGGCTATATTATATTCTACGTATTGGCAGTACATGTAGTATATTTTCTGGTGGCCCAAATAAAAATAATGCAGTTGAGGTTCGAACATTTTACCGAGTACTCGAAAAAATTAACAGAAGAATTAAGCCTAAACACAGCACAAAAACTGTATTTATGTGAATGTGTCAAGGATCATCAAAAACTTATAACGTAAGAAACTATAACGTAAAAAATTTTGTTGCATTAATATCCGAAACTATATGTACAGACTTATAGATATAATAATAGATAATTAATCCCGGCGCATTCGCCATTTTTTCTACAACATTTATTCACTTTAAGGAAAGTTTATTTGTTTAATGTTTAATTTAATCTTTAATATTTTTTAGATTGTGCGATACCTTTAGAGAATATTTAAGCCTATTGTGTTTTTTCGATTTTGTGACAATTGCGATACAAATTACCACAGTCTGCTGTGAAATTTTAGTGGCATGTATAAACAAGTATCTTAATGAATAATAAAGGGATTGTTTCTAGGTTGGAGGCATTAATTCTAATACATATGCTTTAACGATGCATTTAATCACCTTGTATTGTCAATGTTTTGTAATGTGTCAGCCGTCTCAGGAAATGTTTGATGAAGTACATTTTAATAATTTAAATTTAAGTGATTTTAGTTTGCATTTTAGAGTCAACTAATTGAAAATGCGGTTTTTAACAGCGAGTGGTATCTGTATACTGTACATGTCCAGCAAAGATTGCTTATAGTTATGATGCGATCTTCACGTCCTTTATACATGTCAATTGGTCCCTTTTCCAATATCAGAATATCACTTTTGGGCGACGTAAGTAGGTTTTTTAAACAATATAAACTGGTGAGTAAAACACATATCATATATAATTCATCAGCAATTTGTTGTAGATAACACGACGTGTATACAGTTTTATCTGCTTTCTTTTGCAAAAATAAATACACATTTAACGTTAAACCGCCATATATACTTATGCAACTTACAAAATAAAATGTTTTACTAAAAAGCAATATGTTGAATTTTAGATATTCTTAGAAATAAAATTTTGTTTGCTTTAGATTTGTAATATTTAGCACTTGTGAATTAAATAATTTTAAATAATGAACCTTATATATTTTTTATCTTAATTTTTAATCTAAATTGAAATAAAATACAATACTTTCAAAAATGGCGGATGCGCAAACTATTATTCTGTGATATCTGCTCTATACATTGGATAACCCTTAGCACCCAAGTTAGTGACAGCAAACAAGCTACCAGCGGCTGGCTGTTTGGACTTTTCCTCGTCAGTGAGGGAGAATTTGGAAGTCGTTACAAACAAAACATCCAAATTTGGTCCCCCCCAAGCAACTGATGTTATGCACTCGGCCGGTATAGCGATTCTCTCCAAAATTTCGCCACTTGTAGAATTTACTTTTAAGACAGATCCTCCTCCATACAAAGCCACCCACAAATTATCGTCTGTATCTATGGTCATACCGTCTGGATGAAAGTTTAACCCGTGCTCTTTTACGTCTATTATCCAACGCGGGTTACTGATTTTCCCTGAAATGTTTACGATTTAGCTTTGGCGAATTTAAATTAATCGAAAATTACCTTTTTCGTTGTTGTAGTCGTATTCAACGATTTTGTAAGTTTCCGAGTCGATGTAATAAAATTTGTCGTTTTTTTTATTCCAGGCAAGTCCGTTGCTTATATTTACCGGGGAAATAACGGTTTCCGGACTATTTAAATTGTCTTTTGTTATTTTGTGAAGAGCTCCTTCGTTGGATACAAATAATTTATCTGAATTTTGACCGATGGTACCTTGAATTTAATGATTTTGGGATTGTCCATATAGAGATATAAAATAAAATAATACATACCATACCAAATGCGACCTTCTTTATCGGCTTTTCCTTCGTTTAGTCTGACTTCGCTTTCATTTTGTAAATTTACGAGTAATTTTTGGTTTTTCAGATCGTTTTTACCATCCCATTCAATTGAAATTATACTTTTGTTTAAACCAACTATCAGCATATCCCCATTGTTTTTAGTTGGTGTAACTGGGGCCACCTAATATATTAAAAATAAAATATTAAATATACAGAATATTTGTCTATAAAAAGTTAAAAAGACTTATAAAATTTCATACCTGCCCGTTTAGTTGAATGGAATGTATTTCTTTGCTATTATAATCATAGCTGTAAATTTTGCCTTGGTGAATATCGACGTAATATAACAACTGTTTGATTTCATCCCAATGGGGACATTCGCCATGTTCCAAAGGTTCCCCAATTTGGAATATTGCCGGTCCATCGAAATTGTGCCTAAAAATTGTAAATTTTATTCCTTTCATTTTTATATCTAAATAATCATGAAAATATGTATATATTTATTTATTTATATAGATACTTACTGTTGACTATAGCCATGGTGAAATAATAATAATATTGCAAATACAAACATGTTTCTTGCTACAATTATTGAAAGAAATAGAAGAACAAACAAAGGCGACCTTACACGCGAAACGATGTTAAAGGAGGTGGACATAGAAAACCCCGAAGGGAGGTGGAATAGGAACAGGTTTTTTATAGGAAATAAATTAGGTAGCTTTTATTATTTTATTGCACCGTTTTGAAGAATCAGTGAAAAAAACAAAACATTGATTTCATTGACACGTTTGTTGATTTATACAATGGGTAAGTACAAAATTAAAATTAGATTTTCATTGTTATTTTTTATGAGCAAAATTATATCCATTAAACATTACCATTTTATAACATAATAAAGGTTTTTAAGACTTTAAATATATTTAATTAATTAATAAAAAATAAAAGCAAGGTTTTAAACTTTATTGTTAACAATTACTTAAGAATTACTCGTTAAGTCAGCCAAATAAACTGGCAAGCCTTTAACTTTAAGATTTTTGATTGCAAAAACGGCACCTGCAGCAGGTTGTTGTTTTCTCTCTTGGGCACTTAACGTGTATCTAGATGAAGTGACAAACAGAATATCGAGATTTGGGCCTCCAAACATTACGGATGTTACGTTTAATGCTGGAATAGCGATTCTCGCTAACAATTTTCCTGTTCTCGTTTCTACATGAATTACGCAACCTCCACCATACAGAGCGATCCATAAATTGTCGTTTTCATCAATGGTCATCCCATCTGGATTGCCTAGAAGATATTTATTTTTTGCTTTGTTTTTTTAATAAATTGTTAATAATATTAAGTTATCAATGAAAATGTGGGGCTAAAATTCTCGATAATAATGTTATGATGAATGTTGTATAAAAATTAAAATATTGAACAAAAAGTGTTTCTGTTAAATGTTCAGCAAAAACTCTATTTCATTTTTTGTAGGGAATACTTTTCCTCACATTCTTTGTATACATACATACTCTCTTAAATTAATGTTATGTAATTTTTCAGACAAACTAATTAATTAATTTTTAGACTATTTCTTACCAGCGAGTTCTTCGTGTTCGCTCAAATCAAAAACGACTTTTCTGTTGGATATTGTTCCCTTTGATGCATTAAAATCGTAAGAGACAATTTTTCTAGTGGGCGTGTCTATGTAAAAAAATTTGTTGTCAGCTCTATTCCAGGCCAAGCCGTTGCTTATGTTGACTGGAGCCACCATCACATCGGGACTTGCTATGTTTTTGGAGGTTATTTTGTAGAAAACGCCATTATTTGGGGTGAGATTTCCAGCGGAGTCTTCAGATCCCATTGTTCCTTAAATGTTTTAAGTTAAAAAATATTGCTTAGAAGTATACTATAGGTATACTTCTTGTATATAAACATTCCATAAAAGAAGTTTTTTGCAGACTAATCAAATTTTAACATTAATGTTCTACAAATAAGATTGGAAACATTAAAACCAATTTGATTGTGTCTTATAACAAGATTAATTTAGGCATACCTGCAATCTGGGTTGCCTATTGTAACTATATTTCTTTACAAATATAATCAAATTGGTTTTAATATTTCCAATGTTATTTGTAGAACATTATTGTATACATACCCCACCAGAGTCTGCCTTTTGAATCTGCTTTGCCATCATTAAATCTGCTGGTTGGAAATTGCTGGGATACAGTCGTCAGAATTTTTTGACTGGTCAATTTATTGCTTTTACCGTCCCACCGAACTGCCACTACCGATCTAATATATAAAATTTAATATAGTAGTACAAATAAAAATATGTAGATATTTTTGGCTAATTTATTTCAGCATTACCTACCTATTGACGCCAACATAAATGAGATCTTTTTGTTTAGCCTGCACGGCAGGGGTAACATCCCCGTTAAGGGTTATCGCGTTCACTTTGTCGCTATAGTAATCGTAGCTCAGCAGTCGTCCTGAGTGAATATCGACGAAATAAAGGATATTTTTTCTGCCATCCCAGGAAGGTCCCTCAGAATGATCAAATGGTTCAGTAACTTGAAATACCGATGGGCCATCTTCAAAGTTATTGAGGTGTCTTGAAATATGAAAAATGTTTTTAAGTTTTCTAAAATTAAAAATTGCAGTTAAATTGTAGTAGGTACTCTTTATAGCATTATATATAGCTATTAGTTAGTAAGTTCTAATCTTGGTTTATTAGAACTTACCATATAGAACAATATAAATATATAGGTAGTTGTAAAAAACAAGTTTATAACCTGTAAGTATTTAACACTATATATATATTTTAATTAATATATCGTATAGGTACGATATATTAATTAAAATAATACAATTAAATTAATAATACAATGTAGGTATTATTTATTTTTTTGTTTAAAGTTCAAAAACATAGTTATTTTGTATTAACATATTTCATTGGTTTTATTTAGATCTAGGTAGATAACAAATAAATTAGAATTTAAAAAATTTAAATATTGATTTAAATTTTAAAAATATGTTAAAGTAAGTGTGTGATTTATTTCTAAGGACAAATTGACAAATATTTTAGGTAATATAATTTTCAAGCCAAATATATTTTTAATAACAAAATTTTGACTTACATATACATACATATGTGTTTTAGTAGGTATAACCATTATATAATGGTAATAATATACAGTGAAAAGAATGTATAAAAAACATTTTTTTAACTAATATTTTTTTGTTTTTTCGTTTTTTCATCACTTAATGTAAAAAATTATTAAAGCATTTAATAAAATTAAAAGGTATAACCCAAAACTAAAATTTGCATCTCTAAAAGAAAATTTCAAAAATATTTAAAATGTCAAACTAAATAAAAAACCCCTTTTAAAGACAAAATTACACAGGGTTTATTTTTCAAATTCCATTAAATTTCTAATTAACTTACGGTTCGTGGCGAAAACTAACACCAGAATGAAATATAAAAAATAAAAGTAACAACTGAAACATACTTTGTTTTGAACAAATGAAATGTGTGCGTACCTACTTAAGTAAAAAATGTTTATAATAATTATATGCAATGTTTTGCTTATTGGAAGTGATAAAATTTATAATTTTAAATGAAAAGATTAGGTGTCGTCATATACAGGGGTATTCAATTTTGCAATGAGTCTTTCTTCAAGAAAACCAAACATAATGGATTCATACCAAGTACTTAGTCATTTAAAAAAAACCAATAAAAAAATATAAACATCTTACCTTGGAGATATTCCAACGAGAGCATTAAATAATAAAAACTTAGCTATTATCATAGGTATACAAAATACAACTTGTTAAGCTCGAAGCAAATTAAACTCTAATGATATAAGAATATTATTGGAAATAATTGTTTGCTTTTTAATTTTACCGCAAAATTCGTCAATGTTATGCTTCGTTGAATGTTTGCTAACTTTTTCTAGGAATTCATTTTAAATACGGTTTTTCGTAGTATGAAAAATTGAAACATCTAAAATATTAAACGCTTTGGTTCTGGAGACGCATGTATAGGTAGGGATTATATTGGCTTCTATTTAGTAGCGTAAAGAAATTAAATTTGGCAGACAAAAATTATGAATGGAAAGTTTCACTTCAATAGTGTGCTGATTAAAAAAATAAATTTTTTCTATGGTATACGGGAAAAAACGAAATACTTTAGGGTGAACGTTTTCTTTTGCCTATTTTATATTGCCTGTTTTCCTTCAACTTAATATAGTTCTAATGGAAGCATTCATTATTATCTATGAAACCAAGGTTTGTTTTTCCATATTTTCAACAATTAATTTTAACGTGCTTGGTCGTAATCAGAGATAAAGAAGTCGTAATTTGCAAGTTTCATTGATTTATTGTCCATAGATATTGTCATAAGTTTTTTTTTTAAATTAGCGACATACGAGTAGTTAATATAGGCAACAAAGAAACTCAATTTCTTAAATTGAGTTGCCTACCTTCAGAAAAATTTAAAAAATAATTTAAAATGTTGCTAACTTCATGCGTATAACCTTAAAATTAAGTTAACCTATAAGTTTCGTCAAAATATATAAATAGTGTTTAATTTTCTTATTTATCAAGCAATTTAAAAAATGTCATCAATTAAGGGTTTAATTCAGCTGCGTAATTTAAACTCGTTGTCGGCCAGCATAACAAGGCCCCACAGACTGACCTATACGAAGACTTACCAAACAGTTCTAGTTCAGCCTGATGGATCCACAATTAATATAAGATTTGATGACCCCAGACAAATACTTAAGGTAAATACCGATATATGGACTATTAGTTTTAGCTTTATAATAGCAACACAATTTTAAACATGAAAAACAATGCAAACACTATAGGTAATTGTAACCAACTACCTATTTATACCTACAAATTATCAACAATGAGTTTATAAAAAAAACACAGGGTGTGTAATAGCATAGTAATTACAATAATTAGGTGTGTTATTTTTGTTTGAGATCATTTTTAACAAATAAAATAAAATAAATTGGTTCAGTAAATTTTAAAGCAATGGTAATAATACATTAATATTTCATTTGAAAACTTAGTGTAATAATAATAACTATTATCTATACGTTTTATATAAATTTAGAACTTTTATAACACAAATCAATTATTTAAATAATTGTAGCCTTCTGCAAAAATTATGAATCATTTAAAAAACATATAAAATAGAAAAATTGTTTATTATTATTATAATATTATAATTATAATACCTAATTCCTCATAAAAATAAGGTCACAACCATAGTTTAGTTGTATAACTCATTTTGATGTATAATAATTTTTTTTTCTATTTATTGGCTTATTTGTTTCTATGCACTAAACCTTATAATTAGGGTCTTGTTATTTAAATTATAATTATGTACTTAATTTACAGTTATGTTGAAGAAAAAATACTCAAGGACATTTAAAATTAAATAATACGTACCTACCTACATATATACTAGATTTCATTTATTTACTGAAATATGTCTTTTTTATTTAAAATAATTTGCCATTTTCAGATGCCCTTAAATATATGGACTTTAAGTGAAGCTGAAAGGAAAGAAAAATTAGAGCAAAGAAAACCAAAGAAAAAGGTCGTAATTGATGAAGATTATGAAGAAATTTCTTACGATTCTAGCAAATATCTGAAATATTTAAAGAAAAAGTAAATTTTAAGTCTGTTATTAGATATAAGTAGTTAATAAATATTGAAATTGAATACGTTTTTTTGTAAGCAGGGACGTACCGATGTGGGGTTTCACACGCCCCCAAGTTTTCTGAAGTCGGCATTTTCCGAGGTTGTATTAATAAAACTCACCCCCATGATGGGAACCTTCGTTACATCCTTGTTTGTAAGCAATTTATTAAGAGAGACCTAAAAACGTATTTTAGTTTTTTTTAAATTAAAATAGTATTTACTAAATACCTACCCATATGGTATTTACAAAACACATAAAGTGAAAATATCACATCAGAAAATCGGATGAATTCTCAAACTTTCTTTAATTTCGCACAATGGTTAGAATGGTTATTTTAATTACCATAATGAAAGTTAAGACTTTAATTAAATCATTTATAAAATGAGTATATTATGCGTTAATATGCTAAATTTTGGTTTACACAAAACGATAAAGGAATGTTATTGTTATAAGTACCTAATCATATGAAATTTTTTATATTAAGTAATAAAGTGCTCTACTTTTTATATTAAATTCTATTGATATTTTTTCTAAGTATCCTATGTATGGTTTTCCTTTTTATTTTAAAAGCTACAAGGTCGGTTACATCATAAAAAAGTTGCGTAATTACAACCCTATTAAAATTGAAAAATAAATTGTAAAAAATTGTCAAAATCACAAATCGTTATAACATTTATCTATATTTTTATCCAATTTGTGATTTTTTTCGCAAACTAGATTTTAAGTTACTGCCACCATCCTTAGGGATTAGTTTTTCTTTATCTCTGTCTTAGACTATCGAATGGCAATTGATATGCAGTTGTTAATATTAAAGAAATATGTATTTATATAGGACAATATAACGCAAACATTGTGTTAAGATTGGGATATGTGAACAAGTTTTTATCAACCGTTAAAAATCGAATGAATACTGTGGTAAATTTAAATTTGGCGCGCATTAGTGTGCGCACTGGCTGAAGCCTATGAAGTTAGCCGTCCTACCCGATCACAAGTTTGTTATGATTTGGTGCAGTTGTCAGATTACCTGTACTGGCGTATTAACGTACTTCGTGACTGTGCATCTAAAATGGCAGATGATAGAAACATTCAAAGAAAGCCAAAGTCATTGTAAAGTTTGTTATTATTTCGCGAAATACTTACAGGTATTATAGATGAATTGTTTAGTGATATATTTACGTGCCTAATAAGTTTAGGAAATTAAGCAGTTCTAATTCGATTCGAGTGAATGTGAAGAAGAGTTTCTAAATTTGTAGCGAAATAGTTTGTTAGTGCCGTTAGTTGGTGTTGGATTTTTATTGCTGTCAAGTTAATGACAAATCGTTCTAATAATGCATCCAAAACAAATCTAAAGTATGTGTAACTACAAGACTGGCAGAACACCTTTAAACCGTACGAAATCATGTACGACGAAGTTGGTTAACAACACATAATTTCTCTCTTTATTAAAAATATGATGTACCCGATCAACAAAAATGATTCAAACGCTAAAATCTCCTGTATCTACGACACTCCCTGTGATCCAAAAGATACCGATTACGAAAAACTCTTTTGTCCCAATAACGAACTCTCCGAGCCCCCAAAAACCAGATCCGACAGGCTGAAAACGGGCTCCAGTTGCCAGGCACTCAAACATGCCTGCAAGACGCTCCACAGGATCGACGATTTTCACAAGGAGAAAATCGGGGCCGGGTTTTTTTCAGAAGTTTTTAAGGTAACAACATCTTTACTTTATTTTAATTTTAAATTCTTTCCTCCTTAAATGCACAATTAATTAAATATTTGCCCCTCAAAATAAACTATGCTACGTTAACTTACCCTCAAGCCCTTAATATTAATGGCAAGAGCTTGGGATTTTTGGTAAATTTTGTAATTTTAAGGATTATTTCATAAATTTACTTTTTGTGGGATAAGAATTTAAAAATTGAATATTATTTTTGTTATTTCAATGTTTTGAGACTATTTATAGGTACCTATAAACATTTTTTTTACACAAATCTTTTAACCATCTAGCTCTTTATCTAGGATCTAGCTGCAGATCTGTGCATTGTTTATTTTATTTCAATGATGCTGAATTTTTTTGATTATAATGCTTTATCGACTAAATTTTTTGTAATTTTTTTATAACAAAAAATAAGTATACCTACATAAATAATTTTATTAAGAAACATCTGATCTACTTAAATTTCAGTTTTTTCTTATGTTTTTAACAAAATTGTATTCTTCTGGTTGCCAATTTTTAAAACATAATTATTCTCGCAGATTTCATTGTAATTTTTTATTGATTTTAATCATTTCCTTTTGCCATAACATTTTTTATTAGGTAGGTACCCATAATTAATAATTTCCATCTTAATTGCTTTCTATTTAAAGAATGTACTAGCAATGTGTAGTGCAGGTATTGTTAATTTTTATTTATTTTTGTACTAGGAAAGAAATTTATTTCGTGTGTGTACCTACTTGCTCTTCAATTAAGAAATACCTATTTTAAGTAACCTTTCCAATACCATCTGGTCCCGCAATTAACGATACTACAGCCTTTCACAATAAAAATATAGTGGTAAAGAATTATCCTCGGAATTATCATTCAAAAGATATTTAATTATGACATTTTTTGTCATATTAAAAATAAATACCGCAATTTTTAAACTTGCATTTTAAGTTTAAAATGCTTTAGCCTAGTTTTCTTTTTACCACGAGAAAAAATAAGTAGTTTGTAACGCTACATATTTTTATGAAATTAAACGGGCCTATTAAAACAATTTTAATTTTATTGCTTTTCCCAATAATATATCTACTCCTAAATAAACTATTGCAGATGGTGATGCAATTTTTTTTATACAATTGCCAATAATTGTTTTGTAACGAAATATTATTGTTTACCCAGTGCAGAGGATGTCGACCTTGTTAACAATCCAAAATCTACTGACATTTATTTAAATTATCCCACACTGCTATAGAAGGTATTTTAAAAATTAAATGTTGCTGGTAGTCAAAATATTAATTGTTTAAATGTTTGTGAATTTATTACATATTTAATAGCCTGATAAAATTACAAACCAGGGTATTGTAATGTAATACTAATACACATTTTAAAATTTGTTATAAAATCATATTTTGAAACAAATATCCAAAAATTAGGTAATCCAAGTTTTTATAGAAAAGTAGTTTGTGTAACACATGTTGTTTTTTTGGGTAGATAAAAAATCCTCCAAAAATGTTATGCCGATAAACAAAAATCTGTAAATAACTTCCCAACCGTGGCTTATAATCCCAGGGGGCTATTTTTAAAGCACGCACACAAACAGCGTTGCCAATTCGGTACGTACGAACATTTTGCAATCTATGTCGATTCCAAATTAGTTTTTTTATTTTTACCTTTTTTACTTTTTTGCCTGGGTAATATTGTTTTGAAAATTCCACACCTGTAATTTTTAACCAATAAAAACGTGTATTTTTGATAGATCACCATGGCAACGGTTGAATTTTAGTGGAAATTTTTTCCTCGTGGGTACCCAACAGCGAATTATACTGGAAATTTTTTGACGTTTATAATGACAGAATATTTGTTTGACAATCTGGTTTTTATTTGTTTACATGATAATTTTGATACATTTCCATTACAAAGTTTAGATGTTTTCTATATTCGTTGGACACCTCCTTTCTTCTTAATGGCGAAAATGCAGGACTTGAAATAAATTAAATGTCTATGTCTAATGAAATATATATAATATTTAGACACTATTCTATTCACCTTTTTTTCCATTTAGCACTTTGAGTTTTGAATAGTTAAGATGCAAATATTCGTGAACAATTCAAAACAAATTTTCTTTCTTCAAGTAGGAGCCACAATCCTCTAATAATGCGGGTAAATAAGTCATTGCACGATGATTGATCATTACAGCAGACAATTTCACATTTTTTTACGTCGTGCCGCTTGACAGCTTCAAAACTGAAATAACTTTTAGGTTGGGGTTGACTTAGTTGCCATGGTAACTAAATAATCAAGTCAAGGTCAAGTTAAATCAAAAAATAAATTTTAATTATTTAAACACAATTTGGTGTGGAATTTTCTTACCGAATACCACACGAGGTCAAATTAAATCCGGAAATTTTTTCTCCCTCATGAATATTTTTAGAAAATTATCCCTCGTCTTCGACTCGGGATAATTTTCAAAATATTCATGAACTCGAAAAAATTTCCGGAAATAATTTGACCTCTAGTGGTATTACTAGTGATTATTTTTTTTGACAGTTCTCTGTATTGTTGGGACATTGTTGAGGCATTGTTGTTGAGGGAACCTACAGCGAATTACAGCGATAATTTTTTGAAAATTTTCTCTGGTAGTTGCTATATATAAAAAACAAATTAAATCTTAATTAAATGTTGTTTTATTCATTATGAAATTCTTATTTGTTAACTGTACAGGGTGATCCCCTATAATGTCGCCCCCCTTTAACTTTTTTATTTTAAGTGTCCCAAAAAAATTAAAAGTGTGGTTATGTAGGAACTAAAAAATACTTTTTTACTACGTATAAAGAAAATTGGAAAATTAATCAGTATACAGGGAAAAACAAAAAGTTAATTTTTTTTCAATGGATCACCCTATATATGAATTTATTTTTTGATTCCTTGTAAAATTCTAAGCATATTTCATATATCATACCATATACCTAAATTCAACTGTTTCTGAAATATTTAAATTATTTTTAAGATAATAAGTTGAAATAGTTTGTCTTTCTCTGTCCGAGTACGCCATTTTTACTTATTTATTAACACTTATTGACATAATGTCACTATAGTAATTTATTTTCAATAAAAATTTTGGTATACTGAGGCTTCTTGATTTTTAACAGTTTAAAAAAACATTTAATGATGACATTTCGAATGCGAATATTTCAGAAACGGTTGAATTTAGGTATATGGTTTGTATATAAATTATGCTCAGAATTTTACAACGAATCGAAAAATAAATTCAAATATAGGGTGATCCATTGAAAAAAAATAAACTTTTTGTTTTTCCCTGTATACTGATCAATTTTCCAATTTTCTTTATACGTAGAAAAAAAGTATTTTTTAGTTCCTACATAACCACACTTTTAAATTTTTTGGGACACTTAAAATAAAAAAGTTAAAGGGGGGCGACATTATAGGGGATCACCCTGTACATGGTGCAATTCTATTGGCCGACATTTGGGACGGAAAAATAATCCCCCGAATACCACACGAGCTTCAAAATTATCTGGCATTTCCCTCAAGGTTCCCTGCAAACAAATAAAGTCGTCAAGTTTTTCAGGAAAAATCACTCGCGCTTCGCGCTCGTGATTTTTTAACCTGAAAAACTTGACTCCTTCATTTGTTTGCAACGAAACTATCGGGAAAAATACCCGATAATTTTGAAGCTCTTGTGGTATTATAAGTGAAAATTTTACATCGTTGCCAAGTTAACATAATTACATACAAATTATTTGTTTATTGCATAAACAATAGGTGCAGTGTGAAAGATGACATGCAATACCGACCCGACCTGTCAATGTTGTTGTTAAAAGGATTTTTTGTAATTAACTGAAACGCCATGTGTTTTTATGTTTGCGACGGCCGGCTAAACTAGGTCACAGAAGGTATCCTTAACCTTAGGCTTACCATATAAGAAAACACTAAAGCTTATGGTCTTTATGGCGCCTTATGTTCACTTCGATGACTTGTGCATTAATTTATCAAAAAAACACCGACATTAATAATACACCCTGCGAAAGAAAGTCCTGTGTGTGAAAGGAAAACGTACTTTAATTATTCGCAAATTTATTATTTTTACTGTATCGGGTGTCCAAGAGTCTGTCTCGTATTTCGTTTGCATTATTAATCATTCTGCTCGTGTATTTTATGGGCATTTCATTGAATCATTCGTGACTCATTGTGGCTAGTGTCCTTAATACTATAAGAGCGTATGCGCCCTATTTTTAAAGCTATTGTATGAAGTTATAAAAATTAGTAATTATTTTCCATACAATTTTAAATAAATATAGACCATTCATATAATATATATATTTTGGTCTCTATTGATTTTACAAATAGTGTTTGCACCGAAACTATTTTTGCAAGGTGGCCTCAAAGTATTTTTAAGGATTCACAATAACAAGATTTTCTTTTTAAATCTTCTCTACGAAAAAATACAGACATCTGATTAATATAATAATAGGTATGTCTTTTTATTATTCTGACAATATTGACATTTGAATTATTTTTTTTTATTGTTTCGACCTGTACTTGATGAAACTCTAATGTATAGATAAAAAACAAAAAAAATGTATAGATAAAAAACAAACACTTTTTTGAGTTTCACGAATTTATTTTAATTTAATTTGACATTTTTTTAAATTTAAGGACGGATTGTAAATGCTATGAACAGTATAGATAAATAAATATTTTTTGTACGTTTTTTATGTCCAAAGTCTCAATTTTGCCCAGACCAAATTATAAACTTGTTATTGGCTTGCTAATTTGTCTGTATTGTGGACAATTTGTGCAAATTTGTCGCACATTGTTTTCGCAAAAGGTTCTCATTTGAGTATAAACAATCTAATTTAAATAAAATTATCGTTTCGTATGTAAATTGTAAAAAAACACGGTTGATTGTGCCAAGGTTGGCAAATATTCTACTGGAATAGGTTCAATGTCGAAAACTGTCTTGTCTTTCGTCAAAAGTACTGACT